CGTTACACCTGATTCTCAAATCTGATTTGTAGATCATGCATAATCATGCATAACCGGGCACAGATTCAAAAATTGCGCATCTGTTACATGTTGGATTTGTAAATTTCTTTGGGTATCGGTAATGTAGATTGAGTAGTGTTGGCAACTCATCTAGTAAAAATTTAATTTTGAAGTTCTTTTTCTGTGATAATTTTGGGTGTGTAAACCTTGTATGTGGTTTATTGTCATAGTTAATGAATTGGTGAGTACTGTCCCAGTTTATATTCTGGCATATCGAAATATTTATAAAAGTATATGCGTATACTGTATTATAGAAATATATTTTACAAATACAGAAATATATTTTTAGTAATAAAATAAGGTTGTTTCTTTATTAAGGAGAAACTTTTTTTTTTTACAATTTAAAATCGAATTAATAAATCAATAAATTATATATGTACGTACTTTTTTTTTTTACTAAAAAAAAATTGATTTTTAATACCATAATTTATTACAAATCTCTAAGATTAAAATAACAGAGATAATACGTATAAACTAATACATAACTAATAATGAATTTTTTTTTAAAAACTTAAAATTACAAAAAAGGGTAGACTCGTATTCATTTTTGAATACAGTAAATATTATTAATACAAATAAATAATGAAATTAAAATATGGTACAATTCTATATTGTAATTTGTTTGGATGGGTATTTTTTTTAGATGATTAAGATCAAAATGATTAAAATATATAAATATGTATGTGTATGTAATTATATGTATCATCTATCCTTTTCTTTTAAAATTTCTTCAATTTCCAGTTGTGTCGAAGGTGAATGTGATCTAATCTCTGAGAGACTACCAAATGTGGATGGTCGAGGTTTATTAAGTTTATGTTTTGAAGATGAAGTTTTTTGATCACTTTTTTCTAATTCAAGTGAATTAACATGTTTAGAAGTTGATTTTTTTACTGTAATAGACGGTATTAATGAATCATTTCTTTCAGGATAGGAATATCTAGTGGATGATGATGATGATTCATATGTATTTGAGAGAGAATATCTTGTAGGAGGATTATACATTGTCCTATATGGAGGTGACTGTGAAACTCTGGTAGGTGAATTAATAAATGATGGAGATAGTGGAGTGGGAAAAGTAGGTGTGGCAGGGGATATTGGAGGAGAGAATTGTATGGAAAATGTAGTCGTGGTAGGAGAAGGAGAACTAAGTAACATTATATTCGAATTTGTAGGACTATAAGGACTTAATGGCCGTTGTATTCCGTATATTGGAGTAGGACGACGTTGAAGATTACGTGGTGTAGATATTGTTGGTACATCACTAAAATGCTTAAATCCGTAAATTATCGAGTTGAACAAACCAATACATATGAAAATACAAGTTGATAATATTATACTGTTAATAAAACAAAGATTATTATTATTATTATTATTATTATTATTTTGAATTTTGAAAACAAATGTTTCTAATAATTTGAAAAGGAATAAACCGATACGTACTATTCAAAAGGTAAATCATAACCAGCTATAGCAGCAAATCGATCTAAAAAAAGTAAGTAGGATTAATTTCATATAATCAAGCGTTTATTGTAACACAAATATCGGAATATACTTACAAATAGTCAATGGAGGTGCAAGAACGATGTAAATTAGTGGATACCACATTAAACTCTTACTAGTAAATCTAGAACTTATCGTTCGTTGTCTACAGTACAAAATTGCAGTCAGAATGATCACCGCAATAGTAATTGACAAAGTAATGCCATAATTAAAGCCAACTCTGTAATTTTTATAATTATTAGAAATCCAACACCATGAACCATTATTTGCATCATAGAAAGGAGAATTTGGAGTTTGAATGACCAAACCCCAAAGGGAAATCGTTAAATTAAAAGGCCATATTATAACCATGCTTAAGATTACCAAACTTGTACACATATAACGAAAAGTGAGCATAAGTATATATAAACATAATACAAGTGTCCAAAGCCCTAGAATTTTAATATCATAGTATTATAGTATTAAAAAAAGATGCATCAAAAAAAAAAAAAAAGAATTGGAAATATATAAATATCAAAAGATAATGTAAGGATAATGGTAATTACCTGAAGCAACGTCGCCAAAATTGATCAAAAAACCTTGTGCACTACAGACAGGACCTGTCTTGATAACACCGAATATTATCCAGTGATAACTAAACATGAAGCCCAAACACTGGAAAAAGTTTGAAGAGAGCAAATTTAACACTAAAAAAGTGTCTATGGTTTCTCTTATTTTTTTCTGCACTATTTTCCATATAATTATTATAAAACATGTGACGTTGCTTAAAGAGCTGAAGAAACACACAATTATCATTGCTTTAACATATTTTTCACTGGAACTTGGATCAATAACATTAGTCGAAGAAGTATTATTTGAAGAAGGAGTCATAATGATAATTTACAAAGATAATTTACGAAGGAGGATCATTAAAGTGAGTGAAAGAATATTTAGATAATAGATGAATCAAAAGGTGAGAAAATATGTAATATCATTTAAAAATTTGTACCAGAGGAAAGAAATGGCGAAAAGAATGAATTCGGTACAATGTTTCGGAAGAGGAAAATTTTAGCGAAGTATAATGAGTATAATGGTATGTATGCTCGTACATATGTTATTTATAAAAACTCGAATAAATACGTACTGTAATACATTATATGTAACTATCTAGTAAAGGTTGATTTAAAGATATAAAACTGGTAAATTTATTTGTTTATCTTGTGCACTAAACCAATCAAGATATTTCATAAGTCTTTTTTTTTTTTTTTGACGACATAACAAACAAATCCTATCATACTTTTTTTATTGCGTATCACAATCAAAATAATCAAAAAAATTCCTAAGCCAATAAAATTTCCGGAAATTGTCAATGATACGGTTCTTTCAAATATCAATATGCAATTATTTACGCATGTACATAACAAAAGTTGCGATTAAGGATTGTATAAAATTTCTTTATATAGAAGCATTCCATATTTTGCGACTTCACGTGAAAATAGATATTTGGTGCAGATTTGAACGGATGTACGCGTATGTGCGTGCATATGTGAAAATTATTCGTGCTTATGCAATAAATTTTTGGTCGTATGCATAATTAAAAGACTTAAAATCAGGGGACGTTCTTGTATTATCCTTTTTCGTGTTAAGGTAAATTCGAGTTAAGGTAAAGACAAGTATAGAGCAACTAGTTTTTTACAAACCATACGTACTATCATAATTCTTCCCTATTACA